AGAATGATTCTCCGGCCGCGAAACAAGAAACAGCTTGCTTGCATTTGGTTGGGACTATACCAAGAGAAAACAAGGCATGCCTATATTGTGGCCACGTTTCGTTTTGCAACCATGGGTTGTCAAACATGCTTCCCGCTTGTTGGGGCCGTTTCGGCGCCCGCGTTTTTTGCCTTTGAAAGGGGGTCATCATCGAAACCTGGTCGCTTTGGCCGTCCCTGCAGATATCCACATCAAACTCTCGCACCGTTTGCAGCCGGTGCGCATGGTGCCTTTTCTGTCTCGACCTCCAGGTTTGAAACTTGAATCCTGCGCTGCAAGAAACGCACCTCACCATCCGCGGTCCGGGCAAGGCGTTGACTTGGACACGTGGATAAACGGGCATTCAATGCGAAACCTAGTATTTGATGCGACCCGCTAGACAATCCAACGGACAGTCGCGTTTTGGGAATTTCGACTCAAGAGTCCCCTAGCCCCAAATTTTGGAAAGGTTTGGGAAGGTTAGTTTAATCAAATCTGCTACCCTTGTTTTGGTGGTGACAACATCCGTTTCGCCCTGATAGTTATCCAGTCGCGAAGGGCCGGAGCACACACCCAAAAACTGCCTCCAGCTCCCTGGAAGCAAGTCCCTGCCAGATTCCTCCGCGGCCCAAACCCAAGTCCCGGCTCGGCGCACCCCAGAAACCACATTCCCCTCTTGACTTCCCGAAGCTGGTCAGGTCCGCCTGGGGCCCGTAGAAACGGCCAGCAGCCCAAGCCCAGTTCCGGGTGGCTCTTGTTCTATAGCCCTTCAAGCCAGATGGAAACGCGCCACCATATTTCTTCACAACAACACTGCAAGGCAAACCAAGCACAGTACCTCAAAGCCAGCCAAAAGCAAACTAGGCAACGCGAAGCGTTTGCCGTGCGCTACACGGCATTGCCCAACGCCCGAACAATTGGACGTGCGTCTTGCTAAACCCTGGATCTCACCACCATGATGCACGCCCCCGCTCTAACCACCCACTGTTTTACTGGCAGAACAAAACGCCCATGTGGCAGACATAGCAAGTGTTTAAGGGGCCGACGGTGGTAAGGAGCCGGTTGTTTCGTGGTGCTGGGGATACAAACCATCGTTCGTGGCGCTCACAGAGACAGAATGTCCAACGCATTCATTGACGCGAGCTACGGGCACTCTTGCGCAGTTTGCCGGCTGCCAACACGACCGCCGAAGACATGGCAACCTGTGGAGGACATGGCAACCTCCGAAGCCGACAAAAATATCGACCTCCAGTGTAAAGGGGCAGCAGTGGTAACAGGAAGGCTACATGAAGAAGATTCGCTCTCTTCGCTCCCTCCGTCTCTCTGTTCACTCTCTTACCTTCCCGCTCGTTCATTCCTTGACTATAGTCTCAGATTTTTACACAGTTACACGGCAGTGGAAGGACAAGAAGGGAGACAACAAACGAAGGAAGAGGCAAAGACCGGCAACATTCCGCGTGGGGCGTGGAGGCGCAGAGACAAACGCAGGGGGCAGGAGGGGGAACCTCGAATCCGTTGTTTTTAGACACACTGCGTTTGCCATAGGCGCCAACCTGGCACTCAGCCTCGTAAGTTTTTCGGAAAGTGGCGTTAGACCTTGCAAAGCACGTTGATTGCGCTTGGTCTGCGCTAGGCCCGCTCGCGTATGGTCTGAGTTGGCGAGAGCCGTTTACGCGGTGCGGGGCAATAGTTAACGGTGTGTTTCGGTTGCCGCTAATTTGTGCAGTGACAATGTTTGCCGGTTTATGGTTTTACACACTAGTTTGCTTTCCTTCAGCTAGGATAACCACTGCGCTCTCTTTTTCTCACAGGTTGTTCGATTTTGTCGCGGTTTCGTTCGTCGTGTCACGCTCTTGTTGTTACGCGCCAGTGAGCAAGTTCGTTCGCAACGCGCGTTGCATCATCGCGACAGAAAGCATTTGCCTGCGCTCACTCTACATAGCTGCTCTGGCTCTCCGAGACGGGTTGTGTCCTACAACTGCTGTCTCTAGGCCTGGCTTGCTTGTGATTGATTCGCTCGTTCATTGTAACTCGCCATGGCGAGATCGGCTCCAGCGGTAAATTTTGGTGTGTCAAATGGTCGGTGCGCCCTCGGTGAGCGCCCGAGCTTGGAACCCTTTGGGCTTGGCTTGCATTGCGAAGGAGTTTTGCAGCATCTTGCGCACGCGGGGCCGTTTCTGTGTCAGAGCGCAACCTCTGGCACCCAAAACAACCGTCGTGCCTGCTTCTAAGGGAGCGCCTGCCTGGAACGCCCTGCAGGCATCGTCTGGCTTCGCAGGAGCTTAACTAAGCTCAATCTTGCGCCGTTGTTGATTTTTTAGACCGCCCACGCTTGTATTTGGCCTCCCTGTGCTGTGGGGTCTACCGGGCAAATCCGTATGCGACTCAGCAAGTGAGTCTTTGGCTTGCATGTGAATGATGGACTGGCTGAAAAAATCAGTGTGCTGACTGAGCGAGCAAGGATGTAAGTCAAGGAGTGGTTAACGGAGGGAGGGGTCTGGTCAGGAGATCAAGGTCTGAAGGGTGCATGGGGGAGTGAAGTCGAGCGTATCTACCATTGTTTTCCTTAGTCACAAGCCCTGAGAACATCCCATTCTTCCGGACGGACAATAAGCAGGGAAGGGAGGGTAGGAAATGCAGGAAAATGAAGGAAAATGACAGCTGACGACTCTCTCGCTGAGACACGCTTTCATGCCTTTACTCTCGCATTCCGACGCTCGCTGCCTCATCTCAGACGCTCAGAGCCATTTCTGGAAACCACCTGGAAGCCGTCAACTGAGAGCATAAACGCAAACCCTTCACTGGACTCGTGCAAAGGGCCCAGCTGTCCAAGGTTTACGCAGCACTGCAAAACACCCAACTCAACTCTGCCCCCATGTCTACCCACACATAAGTCATGAGTTCAGCAACGCCCATTGAACTATCATTTAACCCCCGATCGGTTTCGGTGGTATTCATCTATGTCCAAGCAAACTGCCTTGAGACCTGGCCAACTGCCCTGGGAAAGGAGGGGCATTTCGAGACCAGGGCACCTCAAAACACCCAGAACCATGGAAGATTTCTTCCGTGGCCTGTTTGAATCGGTCAAGTGAGCAACTCACAACGCATGTGTCCAAAGGGCACGGGAACATTGGGCCCCCTGGTTGTTTTGTGGTTGAGGCTTGGGTCCCCCTTCTCGCCGTTCCCATAGAACAGAAACCGCGTTTCGTAATTGTGCGAGTTGCCAAGGCGTAGTTGAGTTCTTATCATACTATGGGATTTGGACCCCGCGAGCGCGAAGGTCACGATATGAATTGCACAGACTCCAGCTGGAGCGAATTTCAAACAGTTTCTCAAAATTAAGCCCCACGGGGGACGGCACGCTTCGTGCGTGTGTTCGATCAAAGGGTTACTGCCTAAACTGGTCCCAACCACAGTAAAGTGACATCCTGGCATTCTCAACATTACCTTGTATTTGATGATTTGCAGGCAATTGTTTTGCCCGCAAAAGTAGCTTTGACGTACAATCCCGGTCTTCTCTGTTGGACACCTGAAAGTTCCTTTGAATAGACACGGCACGACTCGGCACACCTGTGGTCTGTACAATGGATAGATTGTATCGGCTCGGACATGCAAAAAGCAAAAGCGCAAAGAGACCTCAGCAATCAGCTGGAACAGGCCTCCACTTTGGAGTGTGGCAAATTCCTTTTAGCCTCGGTCCCTTCTGCAGCGCCATTTACCCCGCAGAACAGTTTGAGGGATTCTTCCCAATTTCTAACCCCTTTGGATCTGGAACTTGGGTCTGAGACGTCGAAAGGCATGAACCAAACGAGCAAATGGATTCCTTCACCAAAGGCGGGTGTTCGAGTTTCCCGTGAACTCTTGGCGGGTACTTCTTCCGTGGATTGGTGAAAGCAAGTCTAGACCTAGTTTTGACTATGGGTCCCAAAACGTCTGAAGTCCATGAGCCAGGGAGTGAGCCTATGCTTCTCAGCACCCAGTCGAAGGAACCCAACCAGGTTTAAACATGCTGTGGTGAAAATAGTTTTTTTTTGGGAGGGGGGGGGACCCAGGGATCCGAAAACATACACACACACAAGAAACAAGAACAAGTCTATGATGCGATCACCGTGCTTCGGGGGCATTGTCTTCAGGACTTGGCGCAACAAAACTTGGACGAGTGACTCGGAAGCACAGGGAGCACCGCACAGACGCGAAACTGAGCTGAAGAGTCGAATCTGGTTGACTGGGCCACCAGCTAAGAACGTTACGTGGAATCTAAGGACTTTCCTATTGCACGGAATTCTACCGTAGAGAAACTACCCAAAATAATCCAAAATAAACCAAAATAACTAGGATCTATCTGGGAAAACGCTAGAATACGCTGATTCTCCAGAGGGCCTAATCCCAGGGTGTAATAGGAAAACGCTTGGATGGCATTGCTCATTACCCCCGGATGAATATGAACAAGTTTTGGAGGCGACTCAGTTCGGTTCGAAAAAGGGAACTCCGTGAGCACGCACAAATGAATTCGAGACGATTGACGCCTTCAAAAATGCCAGGAAATGGATTTGGAGATTGAGAGTCGGAACCCCCTTCTGAAGTTGATAGTTGAAAAGAAACAAAAGGAAGATAACCTTTACCAATTCCTACTTTGAGAAGCAGCCATATGATTAGCCTTCAAGTCTTAACGTAGTCAGAATAACCCCTGCTCTCATTCGGACATGACTTGGCTCGAAGCAAGGTGGAAGTGACCCTGTCCAGCTGTGTTTTTGGCGAAAAATCACTTGCGTTCACCTTTAGATGGTATCGGAATCTTAGTCGGGGTTCATCTCAAAGCAGTGCCCCCCTGACACACCCGAGAACGCCACGGAAACTGCATTGAAATTGTAGCGCCGCTCAAGTAGGCTACCACGCTGGTCATAACCTGCCCTCTGGTGGCCTAGTTGTTTGGCGTCCAACTAAGTATATCCAGCCAATGGGTTAACCGACTCCATGGGAGTTCAACCATGTGCCAGTGGGTCAACCCGCTGGACCTCCGAAAAGAAATGCCCAAAGCCACGCAGCTGCCACGAAATTTGGGGGCGCTCCAAGATGTGGCGTACCGCGCAATGAGACTCCAAGTCCTTGATCAAGTCCAAAGCTGTTCGGCCCTTAGCATTCCTTTTCCCTGAGTCAGCTCCGAAGCGTAGCAGCCAAGCAACCACCGCCTTGTCATTCTGCTTTGCGGCCTCATGCAGGGGATAGGTGTACTTGAAACCTAAGCACCAGGACTTCTTGCAATTCACGTGGTCCTTGAAACCATTTGACTCCAGGAACTTCAAGAGCATCACGCTCGCCCTTTGTCTCCTCTTGTGCCTTAGCTCCAGAAATCCCCGGGCGCCAACCTTCGACCTCTCGGATGTTTAACAGGCTTAGCATTTAAAGGTAGCACCATGGCAACCAGGGAAATTTCAACCAACTTAGGTTACCACGGTTACATAGGGGGTGCCACTTACAACACAGGGGCCAAATAGAGCAGCCCAACAAATTATGGTTTTCCCTTTAGTTTTCTTTCCAACAATGGTAAAGAGAGTATCCTCAACAGAATACTCACAAATGGGATTCGGATGTCTTTTGGTGGAAGTGGTCATAAGCGACTCTTTCAAGAAGCCCTGTCCCACTGAAAATTGACCAAAACTGTTGTCTAAACTTTTGTTCATTTTTTGGCTGATAAGGCTCTGCTCTTGGATCCTGGCATCCTGCTTCGACTCCTTGAACATCCCCTGCTTCTCTGCGAAGGAAGCTTCCCGGGACGGTGCATCATTGCGCGTGGAAGAAGTGAGGAAACCACTCTCCTCGATCACATCCTCCTGAAAAGACACGTGCTTCTGATGCGTCCCCTTGGTTGGTCTGGACATCGACAAAACAAGAAGCAGCCTTTAGAGGTTAAGCTCAGTTCCTCAGTGGATTGGACCAAACAAGACTGCTTGTTTGCCACCAAATTTGCCACCACATCGGTCTTGCCAAAACTCATAAGTTCCTGGAACTCAGGGGGGTTAGGCGAAAAGGTCACTTCGGTCACACTTCAGCCAAGTATCCATGGCTCCTACCAGAGCCAAGTCCCAAGCATCGAACTCCCTGTTGAGTTCCTTGCTTGCGTGCAAGCTCCCCTCTGTGGTATTGAATTCCATGCACGCTGTGCAGGCCCGAGCCATCCTTGCACTTATCTCGTCAATTGCACCCGTAAACAAGTAAAATGGAGGTCGACAAGCAGCTTTGTTGGAAACACATTTGGTCCCCTGGTTGAAAACTTGGAATTCGCAAAACCCAGAAAAGTTGGTTGCTGTTGACCCCTCTGCAATTGTGTTTAACTTTTTGTGGGTCCAATGGGAAATCCTCTGTTTCCCATCCCAACAAGTTAAACTCCAAAGATCCAGCCAAATAGCCATAAAGAAAAGGGCCATTCATTCAAATCTTCCTGACCATCATAGGTGGGCTCGTTTCACAGCCGAATCAGGCTTTGCTGGTGGAATGATTTGCTCATATTCAAGAAGTCCGAATTCGACGTTGGATGGCATGAAGTCCACCAATCAACCACACGAACAAAATCTTTGCTCCTGGTTGAAACAAAGACCGGGAGAATTCGGTTTATCTCGGTCCCGGTGTCCCTTGATTGCCATAAAGGTACTGGGAAGGCGCAAACCAACACTAAAACGGGGGGGTTGGGGGGTGGGGGGAAGGGGGGGGGCGAACATGTCCAATCAAAGTGTGAAGCTAAATGGTCGCGCTAACCAAATCCAACCAGATTGATTCAAAGAAGGGAGTTTGGCCATCCCCAAACATGAAACTTTGGTTGTAGACAAATCAGGAAAACGGGTGAGGGTGACCAACCACAAGCTGGGGAGGGAGAAGGGCGCACCTGCGGAGATTTTGCTTGCTAAACAAAAGCTCTAGTGAGTTGCCCTTTTCAGGCTGGCTCAAAGGAAATCAAAAGGAAGGCTGACATACCCAGGTAAGTCACAATCAAACCATGATAATCCAGCCAAAACTTGTGGTAACAAATGAAAAGGGTGGATATTGCACCTGCTGATGTCAAGGGGACCGTCCCTTGCTAACCTTCACCTTCCCAGGAGTTTGGTTGCCTTGACTAAACGATGTTTAGAAGCTGCCAACAAAAAGTTCAAAGCTTGTCAACTCGACGGGTAAGCGTTATTTAGCGTCGTTTTCCCCGTTGAAATGCGGCATCCTCTTCTGGAAGAAGAAAAACAAAGGACAACCTCTGGAAGAAAGCAGGGCCCGCTACAGCGTGCCCAGTGAGAAAGCTATTCTATAACTTCTCAGCTGGTGCCAAAAAAGGCTGCGGCCAAACTCTCGATCGACCGGACCCCGTGTTGGTGCTGGATTTGAAAGGCCCCCCCCCGAAAAGAAAGAACGTCAGAAAAAAGGACATGCCGCCCACGGGTGAGGAACAAACAAAAAACTAACATGCTCTGCCCGAAAGTCGTGGTTTTATCGGCCGATACCCCCGCAACAAGTGCTTTACTTGTGGTGTGTTCATAGAAGTCTATACTCCCCCCCCCAAAAAATAATAAATAATAAATAAAACAAGCTAAAAGAAATCGGGTTCGGACAAGAATCCATGGCGCGCTGACTGCCAAGCAAAATAAGCGATGAATAAGGATGTGTCACTGGGGCTGGTGTTCATCATGCTTACAGGACAATGTAGCGCGGGCTGAGCAGTGCGCCATGTTTTTTGGCAATCACCCTGTTCAACATGTTTGCACAACCTTCAGGTAGCAGTTGAAGGCTGCGCGCAGAACACTGGAGCCCAAAACATAAGTTGCAGAGAATTTCCCAACCGAGACAATAGTAAGCCTCGAAGGTGCCTAAACCCGCCAAAGTTCTGAATCTTTTGCAGCAAGCTCCTAATTTGTGCGCCCAGTTAAAGCTCATTTTGCTTGCACACTGCACTTGGAGCAGCATACCTGCAGAAAAAAATCCTTATTTGGGGCTCATTCAATGCTTATGTTCAAAAGTCCGTACTTGGTGCCAAATTGTAGCATTCTTGCGGCAAAATCCTTATCCCGGGCTTATTCGAGGCTTATTTTTAGGAAAGTATGTACCCTGCAACCCACAGTGGGACACAAGGGAAGCATGCGACCACGCTTCCTTCGCAACCCACAAACTTTATTGCTCGTAAGATGCTGAACAATTCCACCTGCGAATGGGCAGCAGGGCTAAACCACCTACCAACTGGATATGGATTTTGCCCATCCACAGTAAGTCCCTTGTGCTACTTGAGGAGTAATGGGTTCCATCCCTCGAACAGGACCTGAAGAATCGGAACTGAGTTTCCCACCCTTCCAAAGCTCGAAGTGCTCGATCGCCCCGATCTCCTCGAAAAGGGACTTCAGATGATCCTGCGCAAGGCCTAGGGGAACCCCTAAAGGATCACTCGTGGTTTTGAAGCTTTGCTGAGAACCGAAGCGACCCCCCGGAAGCAGCGGTGTTTTGGTTTCCCAAGGAATCGGATCGCTGAAGCTTAGCTTCCCTAGATGCCGAATTCGGTCTCCCAGCAAGTCAGGATGGATCGGCTAAAACTTGCAAGTAGGTTACTAGGTTACATCACCCCAAAAGGAATCTCATCAATCACCAAAGCTGATGTTCACAGCAGCCCAAAAAGGGAAACACGTGTGAAGAAGCACAGCTATCCTTGATTGCGGTGATCCTTTAGGCTAAACAAGCATTTCGGGACTTTGTTTGGCGGCTCCTAGTTTTGGCTTTGTAGGGCAAGCAGAAGCCAGCCAAGAGGCAGGAGCAAGCAAACAAGATGGATATGTGGGTAGTTGCCAAACATGAAACCATGAAGTCTGCACTCCCCGACCAAGGAAGCGAACGGTTGGATGGCGCAAAGGTTGAGACGACCATTTCCTCTTGAAACGAAATGAAGAAACATACACATCCCGTTTAGCAAACTGGGGGAAGGCCCCCATTCTGCCTGGTTTCATGTAGTCAAAACGCTCATATCGCTACGGGAGATTGAAATCCACGTGCAATCAACACAAATTGCATAGTTGTGGAACGTCACTTTCTGTGATACCAATATGAGTCCTTCCCAGCCCTACTCCCACCACTTTGAAGGAGATTCGCTTAGCAACTCTGAAACGCTAAAGCAAACACTACTCCACAACCAGGCTCCAAATCCACGGCGCGGCTAGAACGTCCACCTCCGCGCGGCGCGGTTTTTTTTCTTCTTCGCCTCCGGCACTCGCCGTGACAGGTGCGCAAAGAGCACGGAGTAGGGATCCGTCCTCGGCGAAACGAGGGATCGCATGGCCTGTCTGTCGCGCTTGGCTCATTTCCTTTGAGCTTTACCCGAAGGGGTTGGCTTAAACCATAAAGCCCCTTTTGGTCGGTTTTAAGCCCTGGCTGGTACTCAGTTAATCTTTGTCTACCCCTCAAGAATCCATGATTATCCCTTCCAACCCCAATAGGGTGGGTTGGATGGCACTCCTCACTGTCCGGCTTCCGTCTGGTTGCCCTGGAAAAGTTTGACTTTTTGAAGCGACTGTTTTGAAGAAATGAGTGGTCCACGTCACTTTTTCCCCTGAAGCTTGGGTAGCAAGGCTCCTTGAAGGTCCCCGATACACATCCGAATGCAAGGCGAAACGTTCTTGGCCCAGTGATCTGTAAGCCACCACTTTTGGACATACTATGGCCTTGTGGGTGTGGCTGAAAAAAAATGAAGTTCCAGTTTGCTGGAGATATAGACTCCAACCTTGGAGCCCTCGATTTTTTCGTGGCTACTTGAGCCCAGCGGCCGCTCACGCGCGATCCGCCCCACGCGCCGCTCGTCCCGGTGCTTCTTGTACTTCCCGAAATGGCCTCCGTCGGGCGAGGCGAAGTCCCCCGGACCGACTCAAAACAATTTCTTCGGCCGCAGACGAACGACAACACCAAAAGACTTGTCGGATTGGACAGCTCTCGAATCTTGCAGAAAAGGTAACGCATGTGTGTTGGCGACGCGGCTTCCAACATCTTTCAGGCCAAAAGTTGCATGCCCCATAGTCCCCCCGGAGTTGCACCGCGAGGAAGCAGTATTCGTGCCAGGTATAGCTTCAGATGCTACGGGGGGTTATCAAGAATTGTGTGTTTGGATGGATCTTCGGCTAGCCTTCTTGTTTGCCCCCTGGGCTATTTTGGATTATTATTTCTGCCCCATGGGCGTTAAGCTCATGGCCCCCCCTCTGAGGCAAAAGGAGGCTGCAGGCATAAGGTCACTGGTCAACATGCGAAGCATCGCGACACGGAGTCGAATCGGAAATTGGACCTCCCACCTCTCCACGCTCAAGCCCGATTTACGCGGATGCCCCCTGCCGAACGGCAAAGAACAGTAATTTGAAGTGAGTCGGTTTTGGAGCTACTATCGGTATACTGCAGGCTTGCTTTTGGAGTCAGCTATGTGCATCTCCGCAGTGCTAAGCTATTTCGCGATGCTTCGGACACTTTTGCTTGTTGTAAAAACATGCTAGCAACTGACTGTCGGGGATACTAGCTTGGGTCTGGGGCTCTGGCTCTCCTTGCCTTGGAATGTCTGACCCTACAACTTGGGGGAAGGGCACTGTGTAGGATGCTTGTGTGGGACGTGTCTTTTATCAGCCAAAGTCTCGTTGGTCACCATTCACCAAAGTGGGATTGTCGGTTGGGTGACTTCTAACTAATGGGTTCTGGGATGCCTGCATGATCCTTTGGTGGAAGCTGGACTATTACAAAGTTTGAAGGACAATGACAAAACGCACCCTCCCTGGGGCCCTGCAAATTGCCTCGCACAACGGACAACTGACTTCAGGGCCCGCCTTGCATGCGCTTCGCAAATTCCTCGGCAAACTTGAGGAGGCAGGACACAATAGATCCAGTTGCATCCCAAGTGATGAGGCAGGACTTAATAGGTCCAGTTGCATCCCAAGTGAGAAGCGCAAATCATGGGCTGTGGAACATAAACCGTTCTACAATACCAAGGTGGTCCAGCAGCGACTTCGTTTGGTATCACAGAGAATGGCAAGCCCTAGCTTCCACCACCATGCCGATACCCGGCCAAGATATTCTTGGCCTCACTAGGCAAAATCGACCAGGCTGAACCCATTCGTCGAGCAAGTGGCCTCCACCATTTCCATCATGTCAGGCAGCGTGTACTGGTCGATCATGATTAAGCTGG